AGGCAGACATCGTGAGGTGACGTCAGCAGAATCGTGAGGTGGACGTCAGCAGACATCGTGAGGTGACGTCAGCAGACATCTCGAGGTGACGTCAGGCAGACATCGTGAGGTGACGTCAGCAGACATCGTGACGTCATGAAGTCGGGCAGCATCGTGGGTGGCGTCGATGTGATGCGGGCAGCAGACCACAGCATGAGGCCTGGGACATCTGGTAACTCACGTGGCTTTGTAGGTCTACGTGACATCGCCCACACCCACGTGACGTCGTAATCCACGTAGCTTCGAGTGGCCTCGGGCACTCGGATACACAGCACTGGCAATGAATTCATACGAAAAACAGCAGAAAACACAGCAGAGGGAGTGGGCAGTGGTGAGTGTATGGTAGTGTGGTGGCGAGGAGCGTGCGTGAGTGTATGGCAGGGCGGGCATCTGGCCATTCCTCCTCCTCCTCCACCCACAAACACGTGGAGAAGCTCACACTGGACGCAGAAATCACCACAAAACTCACCTCTGGCTTGCTGAAACAGCTGTGCTGAGCTGAACAACAACAGCAACATACAAGTGACGCTGAACACGTGACTTGAGAGACAGCGTGGGGTCACTGGGACGCCACTTACAATTCTCGGAGAATTTCGGCTGGATCCTGCTTGTACCTGTGTCTGGGTGCTCAAACGTGCAGACACGACATCAGGATAACTCGTTGAGAGACGGATGCTTCTTGTGTAGGGTGATGAAGTGAAGATGACTTCATACCTCTTACTCCTTCTCTCCAGGCAAACACAACTGCTGCAAGCACCGCTGTCACCATTTATAACGGCGCTTGTTTTGGTAGATGCTGTAGCGGGTTGTGTTAATGATAAACTTCATCGGAGGCTTCTTACTTTATTGTTAAGTCGTTGTGGGTTTCACAGGCTTGTGTGTTTGTGCCCATGGCCCGGGAGGGCCATGCCCACGAGAGAGAGCTGGGAGGCCTTGTGTGTTGATGCCAGGCCGCTGTGTGAGTGAGGGTGAGGCAAGTCTGGGCATACTGAAGTGGCAAGGCCTATAGATGGCAGCACCTGAGTGGCGCGAAATATGATCTAAGCTGGCAGACAGCATGGGCTGTCTGTGCAGACAGTACAGGCTGTCTACATGTTGTGGGTGATGTGGGGTTGTGGGTGATGTGGGTTGTGGGTGTTGTGGGTTGTGGGTGTTGTGGGTTGTGGGCGATGTGATTGTGGGTGTTGTGGGTTTGTGGGTGTTTGTGGGTTGTGGGTGTTTTTTGTCGAATAGAGATCCCGAAAAAAGATGTTATAAGTGGGTTGTTGTTGTGACTTTTTCTGATGAAATTAGTTAAAAACGAGAAAAAATTGTGGGTTGTGGGTGTTGTAGGTTGTGGGTGATGTGGGTTGTGGGTGTTGTGGGATGTGGGTGTTTGTGGGTTGTGGGTGTTGTTGTCGAATTTGAGATACCGAAAAGATGTTATAAGTTGTGGGTTGTTGTTATGACTTTTTCTGATGAAATTATTTTAAAACGAGAAAAAAATTGTGGGGTGTGGAGTGTTGTGGGTTGTGGGTGTTGTGGGTTGTGGGTGATGTGGGTTGTGGGTTTTTGTGGATGTGGGTGTTGTGGGTTGTGGGTGTTGTTGTCGAACTAGAGATACCTAAAAGATGTTATTAGGTGGGTTGTTGCTGTGACTTTTTCTGATGAAATTAGTTGAAACGAGAAAAAATTGTGGGTTGTGGGTGTTGTGGGTTGTGGGTGATGTGGGTTGTGGGTGTTGTGGGATGTGGGTGTTGTTGAGAACTAGAGTTATGAAAAGGGGATTATAGTTGTGGGTTGTTGTTGTGACTTTTTCTGTTTGAAATTAGTTAAAACGAGGAAAAAAGTGTTTTAGTAGTATTAAGTGGTGTATTTGGGAGTACTCAAATGGTGTTTGGACTACTCAAAGGTTTTTTTGAAGGTGTTCAAATGATGTGCAAGAGTATTTATGAAGGTGTTCTGGGAGTATTCAGTGGTGATTTGGGGGTATTCGAATGATGTTTTGGAGTATTCAAAGGTAAATGATGGTGTTTTTTGGTGTTGTTCAAAGTAAGATGTCTGAGTTAGTTTTTTTGATACTGTTGTAAAAATCTGGAGAATGAGGGAGGAGTTTTGGGGGGTGAGTTGTAATTTAATGAAATATGAAAGTGTAAAATAAATTAGAGATAAAAAATCTTATTTGGGAAATATTCAAAAGTTGTCTTGGAAATGTTTTAGTGTTGTTTGGAAATGTTCAAAGGTGTTTATGTGAGCAACAAATGATTTATGAGAGTGTTCGAAGTAATCTTGGGTTGTTCTGTTTGTGGGGATGATAAAGGTTTTCGATGAGAGAATATTTCTTAAGGATATTGAGAAAAGTGTGGTGTGTGTGTGTGTGTGTGTGTGTGTGTGTGTGTGTGTGTGTGTGTGTGTGGGCTAGGTGGTCATAGAATTTTGTGAATATCTTGGGTTACAGTGATTTTGTGGATTTGAGATTGGTGTTAGTCTGTTATGTTGATCTTGTTTTTGGGGTTTTTTTTGGTGTTTTGCTGATTCAGTGGTGTTTTGTAGTATTTGTGGTGTTTTGGGAGTATCAAAAATTTTTTGGGTTT